TATCTATCTATCTATCTATCTATCTATCTATCTATCTATCTGTCACATTTTAGGTATATTAAGGGTCATCCCAAAAGGATGTTTCTCCGTAAGTAGTGGTTTAATTTTGTTAATACTTCAAACTTTATTCACATTATGCTCATTATCACGATTATATTAATGCTGATAATACGATTAGACATTGAAACAATAAGAAGAGAATCCGTTGCAACTTAAATTTGTCAATAAATTACTTGCAAATCATTTTTGTTCGAATTAGCATCCCATTTTCGTTGTAGTCACGGTATATTCTAAGACAGAAGGCGAAATATACATTCGATGGAAGCTTACGGAAAACATTTTCTCTTGGTAGTATCGACCCGCTTTGCCATTAAAAATCGAAAGCGTATGCGACATTTTTGGCAAAGGTAACATCGAAAAGTTCGACGAAGCGTATTTAAAGAGAGATACCAAACAAGATTTTGGAATTGTTACAACCGAATGCATTAGTGACCCTGGAGAAACTGCTCGACTGTGCAGAACGAATTGTATGTTTCCAGAGAAGTTTCTATGATATAAGCTCTCCGAGCGTACAAAATATATTTTCATATACCGCGAAGAATCGATAAGTTATTTTCTTTATATGCCTGGTTTTAATGTGACGTTGGTTGTAATGGTGAGTGTCTAAAAGTTGGCATTTGTCCAGTTCCATTTGAGACTCAAGAAAAGAATTCGTAAAATATACAAAGTGTTTGTGTATTCCTGTCATACACTCACGCGCGTGCGTTCTTAAATTTAACCAAGGTTTGTGTGTTTATTTTTTAAGTCTCTTTTCCACACTTAAAATAATGGCAGCATTAATGTTTCTGATACTGACCAGAGATGGATAAAAGTATCCGAACAAAATAGCGTACTTTGAACAATCGGCTTTACAGTCGTCCTAATATCTTCATCTTAGTTTCGACCGTTTTACCCTCCAAGCTTCTTCATTCTTGAATCGACCTGAAAAACCTTCAGGGATGATTCAACCTGAACTTTGAATTCGACTGTCAAGGCGTGTTTATTCAAATCGTTATTTCATTTTTCCGTCGGCGTATGAGAAACCGCACATCTGCATCAAATTTATAAAGAAACTCAGATTTTCTTTCACATCTAACCTGAAACGGCGACAGAGAAAGGATGACTACAGCAGGTTTTGGTGTAACTGTAAGCTTCTAGTTCTGAAGCCGCAAATTGCTGCGAATTCAGTCATCAACGTCATCGTCATAAAGGAATCGATCAGCAAAGAAGAAATTAAATTCTTGGATACGAGATAAAGCCGATGACAACGATTTATGCGGAGGAGGTTGTAATGAACTGTTCTCTAAATAAAATGAATACGACTTTTTTTCCCGTGAAGATATTTGCATTCGATTGATAATCTGAATCGAAATTGCTCTTTTTCAAAATGCATCACCCACAATGACTTCGACTCTGTACCCTACTGATATCACGCAACTGCTGACAATTTATTTACCCTGACTCACAATCAAACGGAAATGGCATCACGTGGCATCACAGTTACAATAGGAGCAGTATTTATTTAACTTTCTGATATGTGATGACGTTGAGCATTATCAATGTAGAAACTGGTTTCTATCTACGTTCGAAAGTCAACCACTGGCGTCACTTGAAAATACGCAGCTACTTTAGGCTAGAGTAAGGCGAAATGTAAACATTTGTAACTGCCCATTTGCGTGTGTCTAAAATGCCGTGTGTATTAATGTCCATTTTTCACATGGTTTAACTTGAAGGCGATACAGAGGAAATACAGGCAGTTTGTGTATCTAGAATATAGTTTTTGCCATTCGGATTCGAGGATACCCGACTACTAGGGCGGCTTGTCAATCCTTATTGTAGACGCTTGCTCAGGCGCATTTGTGTTTATTCAACACCCACATAGCAGACATTAGTTACACTTTCCCGGAAAGAGCGCGTTATCTAGCATGATCATCAATATTAACAAGGCCAGCAAGGCCACGACAACTTGTGATTTCGTGCTAGTACAGCTATCGACGTCTTCCCAATTTCACCCTCAAGGCTTGAGTCAAGTGTGATATTCAGGCACTTTTCAAAGGTGCTGCATGCTAGGATCGACCCTCCACTCCGATAACATTAGGTAGTCTACTTCCTGACGAATCGACCATAGCGACATTCGAACCCAAGTCAATGGTCAGAATGCGAGCTTTCTAACCACTCGGCCACGTGTATCGTATTTTCCATCATATAAATGTATCTTCAAACAACTTCCGTCACGCTCAAGCTCTCAGCCACGATGACTTGTGACTTCGTGCTAGAACAGCTATCGACGGCCTTCAAGGGTCCCATCTTATATACTATCTACCCAATTTCACTCACAAGGCTTGGGTCAACCCGTGATATAGTTTTCAGACACTTTTCAAAGGTGCTGCATGCTTGAATCGTCCCCTCCAGTCCGATAACATCAGGAAATCTCCATCCTGACAAATCGAGCATGGTGAGATTCGAACACGGTTCGTATGGTCAGAAAACGAACTTTCTAACCACTCAGCCACGTGCCATCTAGAGTACACTAGCAACAAATACCTAACGAACCATTCAATTATACTATTTCTTCACTCTTTTTATGGGTTTCAATCTCTCTTACTCAGTATTTGGATGTTTTGCCGTTTTTTTTTTTACTTTTCTCCGGCCACTAGCCAATATTTGCCGACCATTCGTCGGGTTTCACTTTCATCCCTTGCCAACAGCACCTGCAGACCACCATTATCAGCCATCGATCGCGTAAACGGGGGCTCGTTTACAATAACGCGAGGGCACTCTCTCTCCTTGATCTGAATGCTAGGCGGGGGTATTTTATGCGCATAAAACAGTTTTATGTGGACAATCTCAACTCACAGTATTTTGGTGTTATCGTAAACTCCCGGGTGCCTTTATTTGGAACAAGGGAATAGGGTGGGTGGGAATATCAAAAAATATATTAAACGGGTGGCGCCAATAAATGTGGTGTTTAGGAAATGATTAAAACAAGTATTTTTTTTAAATCCTTTCACCCCACGAAAAGGACGTAAAGCTATTAAGATGCAAAGAGTTAATGAGGGCGATGGAATAAAAAAGAAAATGAAAGAATAGATTCAAAAAGACAGACGATGATGATTGACGTTGCAATTAAACTTTTGGAAATGGTAGTTGACAGGAAATCAAGAAGCTGGCAAAGAGCTCTACAGGTGAAAACTTACGGTAATGTGCAGTAAAATGATGAGACCTAACTTCCAGTCTAGTATTAGCCTTCAATTAATGAATCGACTGATAGCAAGATGTCGAAGAAATAAAACTAAAACTTTGCAGCAATATATTAAGTCCGTAGTCAAAAAACCTTATGATGAGTGGGAAAATATTTAACATCAGCCAGCAATGACGAGTACGTTAATTTGGCACTCGAGAGGAAGTACTTATAAGACTGGTTGTCTGGACTGTTGCCATTATAAAAATAACATTATTTAGGTAATTCTGTCTCATTTCTATATTTTAATAGTGATTGTTTTGAAGAGTTTTCCTTTTTAGTACCGATGATCTATGAATTTAAGCGCAGTACTAGATTGGTAGCTAGGTCTCATCATTTTACAATTAAAATTGATATTTTTACTCTTAAGTTGTCTGCTAGCAGTTTCTTTTTTTCGTTCTTTCGTCTGTGTAGCTCTCCTCTGGCTTCTTGCTTTCCAGTCAAATATCATCTTCGGGAATTTAAATGTAATGTCAATCGTTATCGTCTTTCTTTTTAATTTCTCTTCTCTTATTGTTCGCTCTTCCTAATGTTTTTTTTCTCATATTCTCTCACGCTCAGTTACATCTTGCATCTTAGTGACTTTATTGCCTTGCTTGGGGTTAAATGATTAAAAAAAACTGGGCTGAAGCCGTGAGGAGAACCTAGAACTGAATTCGACGGAAGATTGATATTGATGACTTGTGCCCCTCTGGGAGGGAAAAGGGCTACTCCTACTAAGAGATCATTTGTCCTGATGAATTAAGATCGGTTGCAGTTCACTATCAAAGATTTTTCTTGTAACCAGCTAGAAATGCTCCCTAGGGGCCTTACACAATCTATATCCCTGTTTATGAGCAAGAAGCTTATCATGATCTTTTGCCCAGAAGGCTGATTTTTAGGTTTGAAGCATAAAACAGGTAATGTGACGACGTTAACATCTAGATACACTCTTAATCGGAGACCACCTTAAAGGACTGGATTATCCAACTTGAAAGCATTTTTAAATGGGCCCCACTTGCAATCTTATGTGCTTATTTTATCAAAGCCTATCAACATATCGCATACATATCGCATACATTTGGCTGTAATGCATGTGCCTGGTATCCTCTTATCAGACTGGCGTCCTGGGCAAGACGATAAACTACATCCGCGTCCTGGGCAAGACGATAAACTACATCCGCGTCCTGGGTAAGACGATAAACTACATCCGCGTCCTGGGCAAGACGATAAACTACATCCGCGTCCTGGGTATAACGATAAACTACATCCGCATCCTGGGTAAAACGATAAACTACGTCCAGCAGCAAGGTCTCTGATCAGGAGGTTTTGAGAAGCGTGGAACCACCTCTTAATTGCTGGTGTTGTCAGGTCCACCCTGACCCGATGTGGTAGTACCTCTTAGTGTCCCAACTATGGACAAATAGTTGACCCCACAACCTGACTCAAAACACTATGAAAGTGTAAAAGTAGATTTTAATACAAGAAATCCCTTAAAAAATATTTTAAAAAAGAAAATATTACCAGAAATAAAAATCTTGTAAGCATTAAATAACTTATTGAGGTTGATATGCCACAAAACAAAACAAACTAAACATTTTTTTTTAAATATTACCAGCTATACATTCTGAAAAAAACACGAGCTATACATTTTTGACAAAAAAAAAGGGAAATTTTGTCGGCATTAAATAACCCTTTGTGGTTGATATGCCGTAAAACAAAATATATCAAACCAAACTGATTTTTTACAAAGAATACATATTCTATTCGTAAGAACCTATCCTAAAAATCATGTCGGTATTAAATAACTCATTGAAGTTGATATACTGTAAAACAGAACAAACCAAACCTATATATACTGAGATAGATAGATAAAAAATATCAGTAGCAATAAAAGTCTTGTCGGTATTAAATAACCCATTGAGGTTAATATGCCACAAGCAAAAACAAACCAAAGTATACATTTCTTTTCAAAAGAAAAATTACCAGCTATACATTGTGAAAAAATCACCAGCTATACATTTTCGAAAAAAAAAAAACGGAAATTTTGTCGGCATTAAATAACCGATTGTGGTTGATATGCCGTAAAACAAAAGAAACCAAACCTTATCTGACTAGGTGTCATTATGGATCTTTTGGTCTTAGTATATTTTTACTCTAGCGTCACTCTTTTGTCTTCTCCTTCGATAGTAATATCTCAGTGAATTGCGAAAAAAATGTTTTATATTTCCATCCAAATTAATCATGAGAGTTTTTGAATCATGAGTATTGAATAAACAACAATACACTTTCTATTGAACTGCAATGTAATCCCTTGTTTAGAATTGGGTTTCCGGTTCTTTCTGTTAAAGACTTCTAATTCTCTTTCACTTCCATTAACCCTATAAAAACTTCGGAGAATTCCTTTAAAATATCTTTAATCATTTCTTAGATACAGATGTTCAGAGCTTAATCTAATAATTGGACAATTCTGCTGTTAATAGCTAGTATATATATATATATATATATATATATATATATTTTATATATATATATATATATATATATATATATATATATATATATATATATAGACACTGATGGCAACAATCAGGACACTTGGAATGGAGTATTGCAACCCTAATAGGGGACATGATGCAAGTTTCCGAGCTTTTACGAAAGAACTTTGTCATGCTTGCAAATACAATCATGGCGAATTTAAATCTAGGTAACAGTAGATTCTCGCTGAACGCATTCAAGTTATAAAACAAAGAACTAAGATTTTGCCCTAGTCCGCCAAGGTTTGATAAGGACAGAGTGAACCTGAAATCCTTCTTTAGAAGGATACAGCTAAAAGCACACTACGGAGACAATAACCACACACGTTCCATACACGTTACATTAAAAGACAAGGTCTCTACATTCACCCCACAACACACGGACATCGCTATACAGACATTTGAAATGGCAGTAACGAATGACATAAAGAAAACAGCAATACGTAAGCTGCCGCATAACAATATCACTGAAGGAGAACGTGCGGCCTTTGACATGCTGACACAGAGATGACCTAATCATTACACAGGCTGACAAAGGTGGTGCCACAGTGATCTGGAGTATCAAAGAATACCTTAAAGGGGTCAACAATCAGTTAGCCGCCAAAAACACCTACACAAATGCTTACCCACGGGCTCTCTCCCTAAATACCAAAACAATTAACAAGATACCTATACACGATGCTTCAAAAAACAGCACAAAGGAAACATGCACAACACTTACACGAACAGACATCACACACCTGCCCGCTTCTATCTCCTTCCCAAAATACACAAAAAACAACAACCCAGGAAGGCCGGTCATTTCATCATTTAACTGCCATACGACTAAAATATCCAAATTCATAGACCATTAGATACAACCCCTAGCTAAGGATGTAAAATCCTTCATTAGAGACACAACAGACCTTTTAAACAGAATTAATCCTATACAAACAGTCCCAGAAAATGCTACTCTAGTAACTATGGATGTAAGATCACTTTATTCAAACATCAAGCACATCGAAGGACTAACAGCTCTTATAGAAGCATTTACTAAAAGAACAAAACAAGACCCCCACACAGAAGTAATCATAAAACTTATGGAACATATTCTTACATCGAATACTTTCGATTTCAATGGAAAACACTACTTAAAAGTACGAGGCTGTGCCATGGGCACCGTTGCAGCTCCATCATATGCCATAATCTTCATGTGAAAATTTGAGGAGACTCTTATTTAGCCCTTCATCGGTAACGACTGCATATTCTATGCACGATATATCGATGGCATCTTCTTCATACACACGGGCAGTGAAGAGAAACTCACTGAATTCCTTATGACCCTAAACACGGTACACGACTGGATTAAGTTCGACCACAAAAAATCAACAAGATCGGTAACATTTTTAGACACCCGCATCTACATCGATAAAAACAGAAAACTACAAACGACATTACACACTAAAATCACCGATACCCACAACTATCTACACTTTAAGTCTTCCCACCCAAAATACTTCAAGAAGAACCATCCCTATTCACAAGCACTTAGACTCAGAAGGATATGTTCCAACAATGAACACTAAATAAACACACTAAAATCTCGAGCATCAATTCACAACACGTGGCTATAAACAACACCTAATCAGGGAACATATGAATAAAGCAATTTCCACACCTATAGAAGACACCCTAATGTTTAAAATTATAAATAAATCCAGACGCATTCCTCTAGTAACCACTTTCAACACCACTCTTCCTCCGCTAACTCAGATAATGGAAAGTCGCTGGGAAATACTACATCTCAAACCAGACCTAAAATTTTTGTTTGAGAAACTTGGCCTTCTAGCGTATCGTAGACCTAAGAACCTTAAGGAAATTATAGGTAGTAAGCAAATTTCAGATGATAAGGTAACCTGTAATAGACCAAAATTAAAAAACAGCAAGATTTTCACAAACATGTAACAACAAAAAGAGCTTATGCTGTAACGATATTAGACATCCAAATTCGTTAACTGGTACAGTCACTAAATCTACTTTCAAAATCTACCACAGATCTAACTGTAGAAACCATAACCTAATTTACCAATGCCAGAAACAATATGTGGGAAGATCTGAATGGCACTTTCACTACAGAATTAATAATTTTCAGAATCGGATCAAGTCGGCTCCCCACAAAAGATTATTTACCTGTAGAGCAACATTCCCGCCTAGAAAAACATGATTTTAAAAGCCATGGAAAATTCACTATAATTGAAAAAATAGAAATAGACAGGAGAAATAAGGTTAGAAAAATATTAGAAGAACATAAAGACAAATGGATTTTGCACCTCAAAACACTTCGTCCCGACGGGCTTAACCACAAACTTAACAACATAGACAGAATTAATATATAACCCCATAAATCTAAATAGCCCTACCCACATTTCTCACCCACATAAGACAGACATTTTTGCAGAGTTGTTGAGGTTTCACACTTATACACACACTAATACCAATATATAGACTTATATACATCATACACAGCCCCAAAGAATTAAAAGGTAACATATACACAAACGTTCCCCTACAGCAACCAATAAAATTGTCAAAATGACCAAGAACCTCATGAATCTCCCCAGCTTCTATCTTAAAAACAACTTGAAAAGAGGTCGTTTGACCAACACAAGGACCGACCAAAATTAACGATAAAAAACAAATGAAAACTACAGATAAAGTTTCATTTTCTTCATAAAGAGTCATTGACTCCTGTAGTTCATTGCTACTAACAAGCAGAATAATTTTTTTTTAAAATGTTTTTTCTCCTGATGATGACCGTGCTGGCCGAAACTAGTCGACGAACCTAATTGAAATAATAAAACAAAAAAGAAATATTAATATACAACACAGTGTGTTTAAATATTTTGATTTTTTAATATTTTATTGTTGAAAACACACACACACACACACACACACACACACATACGCACACACACACACATATATATAGAGAGATAGATAGATAGATAGATAGATAGATATGTATCAGAGTGTGCAGATTATATTTTATCATAAAGAAATAATTTATTTATTCAGAGTGAAATTTTTCCATTCATAGATGACAATTTGAAATTGTCGAAAGTACTTGACAAGTGTCTTCCATCTGACAACAACTAGAATATAAGGATCTTATTATTCAAGAAAATAAGAGTAAGTTAATGTCTTATTAAGTCTTGATAGCGAAGTGATTTCACCATTAACCACATTAACATTTCTATTTAATTATTTGTATAAATTTTACATACTATATATATATATATATATATATATATATATATGATACTTTATCCATTATCAAGAATGTTTTTATTTTTACATTTAACTGACTGTATGTTTATGCATGTATCTAGAGTAATAACAATGTTTTTTTCCAAAAACGCCCAGCACTTTGTGGCCGTGTTCATCGTTGATATTTTTCACCGTTAACTTTTTCTTTTTTTATTATTATTTTAGCCTTTTTTTACATGTGGATGATGCTATTATATTTGTATTGTCTTCAAGTATGACGCGAATGAAGTTTGGTAGATCTCAATGTAAATTTAAATGAGACCTAATTGAGCTATGGTCAATGCGATGTAACGTGAGTCTTCTTGTTAGGCATGTTGTAGAATATCCAATGTAATTATTACAGGTGTACATGTATAAAAAAATAAAAGCTTTATGTAGAAGTAATTTAAAGCACAAAATTTGTCTATGAAAATAAGCATTTTTCCCTACGAACCTATAGATCTCTCTGCTGGTTTCAAAGTTTTACAACATTCTCCTGCTCGTTTGCATTAAAAGAGTTACGTACCTATTCTACACCTTTCTAAAACTGCTACCTTCATGTAAGCTGTGACGGTTAATAACGCAAAAACTGGAAATTTAAGTCGGGTTCAAATCCTAGACCTCTGCATTCACTTTTGCACAAATGCCCTCCAGGAAAGGCATGAATCTGACCATTCTGTATCTATGGTATAAATAGCACGGTAAAATTAACTCCATAGGGGACAACTAATCTGAGAGAAGGAAAACTGAATTTCAAAACAGTAAACAATTCGACTATCTTTTCCAATAAGCCAGGGCAATACATAGATATAAAAACGGAATGTAACGATCGATCATATCCTGAAATGACATGGTATATGAAACTATGGTGAAGGTAATGGAAAACTACTCCACTATCTTTCCCTAAACATCATCTCAATTCACAGATAATAAAGAAAGAAAAAAACATCTGTGTTTAGCCATGATCGCCTACATCCTAATAGTCATTTCTAAAGTCTCGTCATCTTTGTAGATTTTAATTTATTATTTTGGATGATAATTTTCTGACTTTTCATAGGTTAAGTCGTATTAGGCTGTTTTTTTTAAGACGCTAAGTATTTATGTTCTACTGAATGATTTCCAAAAATCGCTTGATTCTGTATGAATCTGAGGAAAGGCCTGAGATTATATCGGCTGAAATATTGTATTTAAAACGGCTGGATCAGCTAATTCCTCACTTTCCAGCCTTGAGATTTTGTTCATTTTGTGCGGTCCTATGAAGGATGACTTAATATCCACACTACAGCCCTTCCCTCAAAGACAAAGTGGCAAGTTTATCTTTATTTAGTCTATTTTTATGCCACAAACTCAGAGACTTACAGACTCTTACAAACAAGAGTTGCTATATCCGCATGGTTGAAACACCCCCATCCCTACGTATTCTCCTGATAAGAAGGCTGTTTTAGACTCTAGAGTGGATGATTCCACAAAAAGTTGAACCTTAAGCTCTTCAGGTCAGGGGTCAATCGTTATCTATTTCCGATACCCCTGTAATCTTCACTTCTTACTTGCATATCATATAGCTCAGTTAATACCTCTCTACTTGATATCAGACACCTCATTCAATACCTCTCTACTTGATATCACACACCTAATTAAGTACCTCTCTACTTGATATCATACACCTCATGTAGTACTTCTCTACTTGATATCACACACCTAATTAAATATCTCTCTATTTGATATCACACACCTCATGTAGTACTTCTCTACTTGATATCACACACCTAATTAAGTACCTCTCTACTTGATATCACACACCTCATGTAGTACTTATCTACTTGATATCATACACCTAATTAAGTACCTCTCTACTTGATATCACACACCTCATGAAGTACTTCTCTACTTGATATCACACACCTAATTAAGTACCTCTCTACTTGATATCACACACCTAATTAAGTACCTCTCTACTTTATATCACACTCCTCATTTAGTATCTCTCTTAGGCCTTGCATTGGTTGAACTCATACTAAAATAGTAAAAATATACTAAATGCAGGGAGAAGTAAAAAAATGTTTGGTGTAATGAAAATACTTTGTTTTAAAATTTTAGAAACATCTACATAGAATTTAGAAATCAGCCTCTACCAATTGAGATAGTTGCAAGTGCAGTCCTTACATAAAATTGAAGAATTCGTAGAATTAGAAACTGATGCAATAAGAAATAAGAGTCTCAGAATTTTAAAAAAGGTGTATAATTCGTGATTTTGCCTATGAATAATTCAGTTCGTTTTGCCTGTCCAGTGTTTATTCGAAAATCAGACTGTTTTATTTATTTATTTTTTTTATTTTTGGTAGCCAAATTTTTTAATGGCAGTCAGCATTTATCATTTCCATAATGAAATTTCCCGCGCGTTTTTGATCGATAATTGGATTTTATACATTTCTACAAGCCATCGTCTTGAATACTTATTATCTGACTTCCTCCCCGTCACGTATTCCTAGTTTCATCTACTTTCTCTTCGGTTATTTTTTGTTGACTTTTCTTCTTATTAGTTCTAAATTTTAATATTTTCGTCTTATTAGTTTTAAATTCTTCTTTAGTTTTGCCTATTTCGTCAGTCAATCCTTTAACTTCTTTTTCTTCTCTTCCCCAGTTTCCTTTTTCCTTTCACGCCGAGCAAGGCGATAAAGCCCCTAAGATGAAAGGGGTTACTGATAGTGAATGTCTCTAAGAAAACGTTATCTTCTTCCGATTTTTTAACACTCTCTTCTTCCTTATTTTTCTTCTTTCTTAATTTACATTTTCTTTTTTTTAACCTTTTCTTCTTGAACAATTTCCATGTTCCTTACGTCAATTGCTTCTTATTACTTCATTGTTTCTTTATCTTTTCTGTTTTTATTGATATTTATCTTTCTTTCTTTTTTCTTTCCTTTTCTTTCTTTTCTTTCTTTCTTTCTTTCTTTCTTCTTCTTCTCCCCTTACTTTTCCTTCCTTTGTCTGCTTCTTCTCCACTTTTTATTTTTCTCTTGATCCCCTCTTTCATTTAACTTCTTTTTTTTTCTTGTTGTTTATTCCCTTCTCTAGTTTTACCCTCTTCTTTTTGAAGGTTTCCCTCTTTCCTTTGTCTGTTTTCTTCTCCGCATCTATTTCCGTATTACTCTTTCTTTCTTTCTTTCTTTCTTTCCATCTTTCTTTCTTTCTACTTCTTCTTCTTTAATGTTTTCTTTTGTTCTTATTTAAAATTTCCCTTTCCCCAAGACTCACTCTTTCTTTCTTTCTTTCTTTCTTTCTTTCTTTCTTTCTTTCTTTCTTTCTTTTTTTTTTTCTTCTTTCTTTCTTTCTTTCTTTTTTTCTTTCTTTCTTTCTTTCTTTCTTTCTTTCTTTCTTTCTTTCTTTCTTTCTTTCTTTCTTTCTTTCTACTTCTTCTTTAACATTTTCTTTTGTCCTTATTTAAATTTTCCCTTGCCCCAAGACTCTTTTATATCTAATCACTCTTTCTTTCTTTCTTTCTTTCTTTCTTTCTTTCTTTCTTGTCTTTCCATTTCATGTCAGCCAAGAATAACAACCCGAGAAGACGCAACGCGTCATTCTCCTAGAGGTTAGCCTTGCTGATGGAAGGCAAAAATGGGTGTAGCAGATGATTAACAGAGAGCAGTATAGTTTTAGAGGCGTCGAAATTAACAAGCCATTCTTTGCCGCAGACTGTAAATCTTTGTTGACATCAGCCGCTATTTGACTTTATCGAACTGATCAGACTTGGTATCGAGAAAGCAGTAAATGGCTGCGTCATCAGCAAAGATACCAAGTTGAAAGCTGATGTCATCAAGAAGGTCGTTAATGAAAATTAAAAAAAACAAAGAGGGACCAAGGATAGAACCCTGGGTGACATCGGCATTAGCAGGAATCGATCTAAAAGAGCTCTCGTTCTGGATAAGTTTAATTTCAAGATTTCACGAGATATGCTTGTTAGCTTTCTTTTATTCTTTTTTTTAACCATTTCTCCCCAAGCAAGGCGGGAATGCCACAAGTACGCAGTGATTTAGAGAGAGGGAAAATGAGAGAAACGATTGAGTATAGGGAGGGTTGAGAAAAGGACAAAAGATGAAGGGAATTCAAGAAGACAGATGACGACGATCGATGTTGCATTTAGATTTTTGAAGATTGTAGTTATCAGGGAAGCAAGTAAATGGAAGGGAGTTCCACAGACGGGAAATTTGAGAAGAGAAATTGTTGCAGTAGAAATGGCGGTTGCATTTAGCTACTTCAACAGTAAAAGGGTGGGACCTAAATGCCAATCTAGTAGCACGCTTAAATTCATGTAATCGGGGCACCAAAGAAAAAAAATCTCATCAGAGCATCTGCCATAAAAATATTTGAATAAAAGACAGATCGTAATATTTGTTTAATTCTCACATTTTGCCCAACTCTTTGGGACCGATACCAAAATCAGCTTAGCAGCAAAGCTCCAAAATTTCTTTTCGACTGCTCTTTTGACACTATTTACATTATGTTTAATGGATGTGAGTTATCAGTTATCTCCTGTTAATTCCTCTCTCCAAGTTCTCCACTGCCTTATCCGGGTATAGAACTCTCACTCTTTGGTTCCTGTCACTGGATCTAACTAACGCCTTTATCCACTGTGCCATGTGTCTTCAAGACACATGGCGCAGTGATATCCATTATACATGGCAAGTGGAACCAGTCTACTCCAGTTTCTTCACATTCCAACCACCTGAAGAAGGCACATACAACGGCCGAAACGTTTGGAGGCAACAAAAAAAAATAATCCGAATAATAAATAGCTCAAATGGACATTCAAATATTCTTTAATCTTACCTTAGTCTTGGACAAATAAAAAACTGGTTTTTGATTGTTGCGATTCATCCATTGAAGTTAAATATAATTAACTTAGGCCTGTCTTTTAACGATAAAACTAGCGTCCTGAAAAATACATCCAAAAATACATCCAATGGCTCTGATCATTTCTTAATTGGGTGTTCCCAGGTCCAGCTATAAGAACCCCAGCGATAAGGAGTCAAAAACTATAATTTTAAAATAGGTTTTAATACTACTCCAGCAGGCCACTATTTACATTATAGAAATAATTATAACGTTTCGGTCCTTGTACGCTTTGACCTTTCCTCAGGTTCGAACGGAAATCCCTTTTGGTTCTAATATGCCATGAATGAAAATGAAACGTTGTAATAAATATGACGACAAAGATGACAAAAATAATGTAAATAGTGTACCTCATCTCAGAAATATAGACAGATATTTAAAGGCCGAAACGTTGTAATGGCAAGAAAGTTGAGGACAATAAAAATAGTGTCCATAATCCTCATCTCAGAAATATAACAATACTGAAAGGCCGAAAACGTTTGTAATAAATATGGCAATGAGGACATTAATGTAAAAACAAAGGCAAATATTACCAAAATGCATTTTACGTAAAATTATCCTGACCCAGTAATAAAAATATCGTAAACCAAACCACCTTTTAAAAATGTTGATTGAAATTTTGATCAATCGAAAAATATGGTAGATACCCAATATACATACATAAATATATGTGAATCGTTGTTATTGTTATTTAGAAAACTGTTACAGACAACACGTTTCACTTCCGTGTAGTAGGCGTTTTCAAAAAGGAAAAGACAATTTGTGTAAAATAAACTCTTAAGGAGTGGTAAATAACGTGATCCTAAATACGACAAGACAGTATTTGAAACCAACTCTGCTGGAAAATAGTCCTTCTTAAAACCGCAAAATTTCACGATTTGAATGAAACCGGTCCGCGGTTAATATCTAAAAATATTTTCTTCTTATTGAATCATTTTTTCCTTTAATCAAAAATTTATAAGTCGGCATTATAAACCAATATCCTAGATGGTCCTGCATCCTGCAACCTCTGAAAGGAGAGGAACCACCTCTTAATTAAGTATTGTTCCTGACCAAATATGAGGGCCCCAAATGAGAAAATAGTTAACAAACTGTGTTTAGAGCACTTTTGAAAGATGGTCCAGCAATACATTTTTAAAAACAATAAAAATAAATTCCCAGCAATATATTTGACACTCGACAAAAAACCTTCTTAACAAAAACACGAGAATGAAACCTTATCTACAAAATGATTTCCTTCAAAGAATACATTTTCTATTCATCCGAACCTATCCTAAAAATCTTGTCGGCATTAAATAACCCATTGAGATTGATATGACGTAAAACAAAATAAACCAATCAAAACCAACCTGAGATGGTCCTATAATCTTTCTTGCTTTTTTGTTTTATTTATTTATTGATGTTTCACCGATGTTTATCATTGGTGCAATTTTTGTATATATTTTTTTTGTATATTTTCTGCGTTTTGTTGTTGCTATTCCATTTGGTGTTGACGATATGTTTTATTGTTTCGGAGATAGTGATAAATAACTTTAGATTAAGGTTGGATAAGTTATTTGCGATGGTTGCTGTTATGGAGCTCGTGGTTAGAGTTATGAGCTTTTAATGCCTTTTTCATAATCGGGTATTAATTAGAGACGAAAAACCCCGGGGATTAATTAGAGATTACAAATTTTAAGAGCTCTTAAGTAGAAACCTATGATTACTACGAATTTTGACTTGTTGTTATGGAAGTAAAAGTGAATAAATTTGTTTTTAAAAGCAAAGCCTGCAAAATCCATAGAATCAAAATATGCTGTCCAACTCTAATCTGCTGCCTTAATATTTTTCTCCAGCGCGAATCTGGACTTGAAGTAGTTAAGCTTGTTGTTTGGTTTGGTTCATTTTGCTTTACAGAATATCAATTTCAATGGCTTATTTAATGCCGACAAGATTTTTACGATAGGTAAATATGTATTTTTTTTTCAAAAATGCATTGCTGCTAATATATTTTAAAAAATGTATTGTTGGTAATATATTTTCAAAAATGTATTGTTGGTAATATTTATTTAAAAAATATATTTCTGGTAATATTTTGTTTAAAAATGTATTGCTGTTAATATTGTTTTTCAAAATATATATTTCTAGTAATTTTTTTTCAAAAGGTATTACTGGTAATATTTTTTCAAAAATATGTTTCTCGTAGATTTTTTTTCAAAAATGTATTGCTGGTAATATTTTGTTTAAAAATGTATTAGTGTTAATAATTTTTTTTCAAAATATATTTCTAATAATGTTTTTTCAAAAGGTATTGCTGGTAACATTTTTTTCAAATATCAACTTCAATGGGTTATTTAACGACGACAAGATTTTTATTGCTGGTAATAATTTTTTTCTAAAAATGTATTGCTGGTAATATTTTTTTTCAAAAATGTATTGCTGGTATTTTTACTATAAAACCTATTTTTATATTTTAAATTTTCAATTTGGAGTTCAGTATTTGCCTATAACTGTGACCCTAATAGATGCTACCACCCCGGGTCAGTGTGGACCTAGGAACAATAGCAATTAAGAGGTGGTTTCACGGTCCTCAAAACCTCCCGATCAGAGGCTTTGCTGCCGGATTTATTTTATCGTCATATTCAGGACGAAGTTTATAGTGGCCAAGTGAGTATACTCTCGGAAGTCTGTTCTAAGTCTTAACAATTCTATGAAAGTAGCTGCCGGGGTGGAAGATACTCCTTACCAAAACGAATCCAAAGGGAATGGAGATGATTTTCAATCGTTAACCTGGTATGGTGGATCCTAGCTGAGATGGTCTTAGCTGGAGGTTCAACTAAGGATTGTAACTCATTTTGACATCTGCAATAGTGATAGCGACGGGATAGTGTGAGGCTTTTCGTTATTTTTATCGTTACGAATGAAGAACAATACAATAACATACAACGTAAAATCTACCTCTTTATGATTAAACCAAGGAGGTACCCAATACCATACATATGTTTTCAGTCAAAAGCATCCCATTATCAGTAAGCATAAACCTGTTCCTTAAACTAAGAAGGTATTTGCTGTATAATATTAATGCTTTTTCATGTTGAGATTATAAGAATTTATGAATATCTATTCTGATGATCCAACGGTATATAGGTGTACCTCTAAAACCCTCGATGATCAGAATTTGATAGCTGATCTTCCATGTGACATATCTCTAGCAGCTCAGTGAGGAGAATACTGGTTGTTCACATTGAGTGGCTTAAAGAAGAAACTATTGACCTTGGATGATCACTGAAGCGTAATGAAATGAATGTTCTCTCAGCGAGTTTTCATGCCTTGGGCGCCTATTGGAAGTTGTACTCAACTAAGACTTCAAGTGGAACATACGAACCATTGCTAGAGATGCTGGGGAAATGTACCAGTTCAATGTACCGCCCCAGCAAGTACCTAACTTCTCTTACTATCCTCTATCTTTACAAAGAGCCGGATCAGGCCGAAAATGGAATACAATACTGCTTCCATATAAGGATCGGAGCCGACCAATCTTCACTTTCCACTC